TGCATAAATTGTTTTAAATTCAGATTTCGTATGATTGTGTTTTCACAGCCTACATGGATTTAACACTTTTTCCAAGATGAAGCATTAGCTCTAAAAAGATATTAAAATGGCGCCAAGAATTTCACTTGCCTCTGGAACCATGAGGTGTGGGGCCTGGCAGCTGCCGGGCTCCAGTGCCCTTGCGGGAGCCAGCCCAGAAGTGATGGAAGTGATGCAGAAGGAAGCACTCGCTTCTTGAAGTGAAGCCGCACTGCAAACATCCTTCTTGTCCTTTTCTGTAGTTTAGCCCAAGCTCCTCCTGCCTTGGTTCTCGGGGCAGCCTTAGACGCTCTGTGAACTCAGGGGAAATAGGGGACCAAGTTAGTACTCAGAAAAGCAAATGCATCCATTCTGCCCTTGCCATTGAGCTTGTCCAGGCTCCCATCTGCATCCAGGCACTGCTTCCTACCTCAGCCACCCCTTTCAAGACTGGACCCTGGCAGAAGTCCCACTGCCTCCCTCTTCCTACTTCCCCACTTCCTCCTGCTTCTCCTGAGGCTGTGTGTGTTCCAAGTGCATAGCTGCTAGTGTTTTGCTCACCCTTTAGTGAATGCAGCAGGGACAGGACTTTGAGAGGGGTGCCTGGTGCAGAGCGCAAAGCCGTCTGCTTTTTCCGAGACGTTTTCCTTGTCAAAAGGGGCCAGGCAGCCAGGCTTTGGGGAAACAGTGTCCTGAACCAGAATCAAGAAAGGCAACGGCCCTCTGCTAATCTCATGCTAGAGGTGGGCACCAGGCAGATGAGTACAGTGTGTTTAGGACACAGGTCTTCATCCTCTATAAAGGGATGAGCTATCTCAGGCTTAGATATCTATAGTTATGTGAATTGAATCCTGCCTATGCATCTTGTTTTAACTTTTTATTATCTGCTAATAGACATGATTGTACAGTACACCGATGCATTAGCGCTTGGGAGAGGAAGAAGAGACAGGAAGTTGTGCCCAAAGCTCTTAATCCGTTTCTAAACACTGCTATTATCACAGCAGAAGCAATAGCCTGATATGAGCATGATATACACGGTGCGTATTCGCTCTCGTAGCCTCCCATTTCCTGCACTGCATTCCTGGGTGAGGTACATACATGGGTGCATCAGGTGTCTCCCTCACCCTTTGCTTGCCTGCTTTCCACCCCGAGCCATGCCAGGAGTCCAGTGTCGTCTCAGGAGACCCAGGCAAAAATTATCCTGCCTTTCCCTGCAGAAGTTGTGCCACGCGTAGGTGGCATCTTCCTGTGGACGGTCTTAGCCGCTCTGCCAACTGAAGGCAGTACCCTCCTGGCTTCAGCTGGCCAAACGCCCCACTATCCTGCCACCATCGCGTGTATATTAAACCTTTTGTCAGCTGCTCTGTGGTTAAGGCACCTCTCCCAAGAGCCATGCCTACGGAGGTGAAGAGGGCTCTCACAAGCTAACAGTGGGCTCAGATACCTTTTTTAAGAGAACCATGTGCTTGGTTGTAAGGTCACACAAGTATCGTTTAACCTGTGGCTGCCCGACAAGTGTACTCATAAGCTTTGCTTTGTGCCCACTATGGCCTGGATGAGGATTTCCTTTGCAGGGGATGTGTTTGTGTGCTACAGGAGACCCCTGCAGCCGCTCTGCAGCCTGCTCTGTGAAAGGCAGCTGCTGCTTCACACCCTCATTTAGGCCAGTGCCCCTGAGTAAACCACTGTATTCTTCATATGACAAGCATCCCTATCCTCAGAGCTCACAGCCAATATCGCACCAGTTAGCTATTGATCTGAGGCAGCCTGGGACAGCCAGCTCCCAGCTAAGAGCAACTTCTCAGCTAGTTTGCTCTCTTTCATCACTGTGTGGGAAGCTCTTCCCACACTCCAGGATGCCTCTGAAGGATGCAGTCCCCTCGCTGAACTAGCTGTCTGGCACCCAAGCATCTATCCACAGCTGGACAATGCACACTTACCACCATGTGCAGTGGGTGTTTCTGCTGTGCCAGAAGTGAACTCCTTCTGGGAGTGCTGGCCATCAGAAACCAGGGATGCAATGCTTTGTGCATCCTCCCCTTGCCTGCTGCAGTAGCTAGGTAGCCACCAGCCACCGTTCATCTCGTAGCACAGACACACCAGTGTCTACATCTCCTGGCTGGAGAGGGTGGATGTGAGTAGTGTGCTGCCCTGGGGGTACCTTAGTAAAATATTCAGGAAGGCTAAGAGCACTTCTAGTAACAGGGCTGGGAAGGACATAGGTGTTTCCTGCCTCTGTAAACCACATTCAGGTTCACAGATTGTCTAAAATCATTATGGCCACCAGGAATCCTGGGGACTGTCCACAAGACCCTTCTGCCAAACCTGGCACCTGCAGCATCGATGTGGCCAGGCACAGAGGAGATGGCTTCACTCCACAAACTTCCCTGCCATTCCTCTGCATGGGCTTGAGAAAACCCGACTGATATGCACAGGGACCAGGCACAAGTCCATCCTGCACTGGAAACATGCCCTTGGACCAAGCACAAGCATCAGCCTTTGCTCCTGGATTTCTTTCAAGAGTGTCATTTTTTTCCAAGCTGAAAAATAAATTGAGCTATGAGTCTGCTATAATCAATCAAATCCAGTTTTATGCCGACTTCCCCCTAGGAGACACTATCAGCTTGGGGCCTTGGGCTAAACAGTGGTCTGAGACTTTGTCACCTACAGAAATTTCCTTCAACCTGTGCAGCGGGCAGCAAGCAGAGGGCTCTCGTGCTCTTGTTCAAGCACAGCACAGGCGTAGTCCCTGTTGCACTGCGTGAACATACTGCTTGCAGGCTCTCCCTTTCATACCAGTGTGCAGCCTCCGTCACCAGAGCTGCTAAGGGCAGGGTCTGACTCAGCCCTGAGACTCTAAGAGCTGGGCTGTTCCCAGAGGGAGAGTGGTTTGTCTGGGATCCTCCTGAAAATGTGTGGAAAAAGACAAAGCATCACCTCTTTTTTGACTGCTTTTTCAGCAGGTTTGCCACTGTGTGCTGGAAGGAAGAGCTGTCACTGCAACCTCCTTGGAAGAGCAGGTGTCATGCATAAGCAGGTGGATATCTCAAGTGCTAAATTTGTAGCAGAGTCCCTCTGCTAGCTCGGTGCAACAGTTAGCACCTCTCTTTCCACCATCTCAGGAAGACAGCCCTTAATAAATTCATCCGAGAACAGGTTCCTGTTTGACAGGGACCATCAGAGCTATATCCATAAGGCTTTGGTTGATCTTCTCCCTGCTTGTAGTATAGCTGGAAAGTGTGCTCTGGGAAAGTTGTCCCTGGCCCCCAAATCAGCAATGATGCTGGGAACTACTTTGTCACACATCCCCATGCTCAAAGCTACCCTGCTATCCTAAAGCTTTCAGTGGCTGCGACAGCAAGATGAACCTTGCATTTATAGACAGAGAAATGGTAACTGGAGATGATCACAAAGCACTTATGGAGAGGCTTGACAAACATCATCTTGGAGGCTATGAAGGCTTTTTTTTTCCCCTCAAAATAAAATATACGGTTTTCAAATTGCATATAAATGAGGGAGTGATTCAGTGATTACAGAGATACTTTGCAAAGTATTTAGTGAGTGCAGAAGAACAACATCCACCCCTGGATGCAGGATGCATGAATTCAGTTAAACTTCAGTATCTAGTGATAGCGGTGGGCAGGGAGTGAGTTCATAGGAAGCTCAGTTCAGGCTGTTAGGATGAGCACAGCAAGGCTGTGTGTGCTGAAGCTGTCACGACTGGTGACTAAATGTTGTCTCTTCGAAGGTGATGGAAAGGTCGTTCTGGAGGTGTTATAGAAAAACAGTCTGCAAAGCATTCGGTGTCAGTAGGGAGATAAAAGTCCCAAAGAAGGGCTGGAGATTTTTTGGGTTAATGCTGAATGAAAAGCAAAACTGACAAAACTGCCGGGGAGGTGTTGTTTGTATAAAAACAAAGGCCAACCAGGACAGAGAGCCTGTTCTGGAGCAGGACTGGCAGCTAAAATACTCTCATGAAAAAGGGGAATGCTGACTTTGAAACCCTGCTGCCTGAGAAGCATCTGGGCCCATGTCCACAGCCAGTTCTCTGCTTGCTGAACAGATGTTTTCAGAGAGAGAAGTAATTTAGGGTGCCATTTATCTCACTTAACTGTGGGTCCCCTCAGCACAAACAGCCTAGTGACGAAGCATCTCAGTGTGATGGAGGAAGTCCCCAAGCTAGGGAAAGCGTCCTGGGGCATCACTAGATGCTTATCCTGCTGACCTACTCTTCTCCTGGCCACTGCCAGAGAAAGTGTACCTGACAGGAGGGATCTTCAGCCTGACCTGCACAGCACGGTCATTCTTATGTCTTCTTGTTCCCAGACGTTTCCAGTATGTGCACTGCCATCCCAGCTAGTTGTCTTGACCCACTTTATACACAGTTGATAGGGATGTTAGGTTTCAGTCATCTCCTGGTGAAGCAGGTGCCCCAAGCAAGAAAGACAAACACCTCCTAGGAGATGCTGTCCCCACAGCCTGCAACGACTTCCAAGGGGCACCAGCACAGCAAGAGGCATCCGCTTTATGGCCCGCAAGAGGGAAAAGAGGTGGATCTCACCCATGGTCAGTCTAGCCAGAAAGGCCAATTTAAATGCCAAGGGCTGGTCCACACCATGAGGTGCAGACAGTTATGTGTCCACACAGCTCCCGTCCAAGCGCCTGCATGGGACCAGCTTCCCTTCAGGAAGCCGTGCAGACTGTGAAGCTTTAAACATTGAATAACTGCCTTCCTGTGTACAAAGCCTCGTGAACTACACGTGTTAACTCTTAGATATGGGGTGACACACCTTCTGCACGTATGCAAGGTCAGGCTTTTGGTTAGGTGATGTGATATTGGAAGGAGAAGGGGATAGGCCTGGACTAGAACTGACCTAGAGAAGTTCTTTGAACAAAGGTTAAGGAAAATTATAAATATTCCAAGCAGCCAACAAATATTATCCCATCATGTCTTTGTACTCCCTTATCCATTTCTATCTTACCTGCTTGTCTTGCAAACTCCATGATCACCATTTTAGTTTAGGGATTTGGAGCCTTGTGCAGGAAATCATACCAAGTGCTTCTCTAGACAATTACAATTCAGATAATTATTGTTAGCCAAAAGAGTTGTTAGGAATAAGAACTCTTGTTGGATTACTAGCAATGTTTATATTGTCAGATACTGACAGACAAGCAAATAACGTGCCCTCAGCAATTTTTTAGTAAGAGAGAGTCAAAGAGAACCATTTCAACAAGAGAAATATGCAACCTGTTACAAAAGAGACCTCTTTAATAATGGTGAAGCCCTAGATCACATCAGTTTAGGTGCATGGATCTCTCTAGGTGCTAAATATTACATATTAAACATTAAACCTTTACAAGAAAAGCCCTCAGATTTCATAAACATGCAATAGAGCAAGCTTTTTTACTCATGATAGACTGGTGAGATGACCAAATCAAACTCTAGCCCTGGACACAAAATGGAGAAGTATTTGTTCTTTAAATAAGTTTATTTCTTTCCTCAAAAAGTAACGCCCAAACTCTTAGGTCTTTAATCAAGAAGCCTTTGAGATTCTCATTTTTCCAGCAAACCTAGATGCTTTCTTTAAGATAAAGAAGCAAACACTTTCTCAGAAATAACCAGAATCCTTTATTCCACTGAAAAACACTGTTTTGCCAGAGCATTTGGAGCAAGCCTCTGAGTGCAACTCACAGTAATCACCTCTATCTCGGTTAAGGGCTGTTACCTCTCATGCTGATCTGCACCACTGATGGAGATGGCAGGCATCCTCTGCTTCACTGCGGCCTGCAGGAGCTTGCAGTGTCCAGAATGGGGCCTGTGGAAATGAGGGTGAGGGTAGGGGTGGAGAATAAATGAGAGGAAAAGCCCACTTTCATGGCCTTTAAGATAATACTTGCCAAAGGGTATCTCCATCTGAGTACTGTAAGCTGTATTACACCACAGCTAGACCCCACTGGCACCACTCTAAACAATAGTAACTGTAAATAATGCATATTAGTGCACAGCAGTGATTTTTTTAAGCTCTAGAGGGAGAAGAAAATTAAGCTGAAGACTTAAAGGATAGAAGACTCTCTTCTCTTGACACGACAAAATCACATCATCTGTAGCCTTCTACTTGGTAGTATTATGTCAAAGAGTTATTTGCAGATATTATTTTCAGACAGAAGGGTCTGTATATTTGATATTTCCTTTTGGCTGTTCATTGGTTGTTGTTACTTACATGCCAAGTCTGTTAAAGCCCCATTATCTTTCTGTCCATTCTGGGCGGGCTACTGCGCTGCTGACATTTCCTGATGCTGGTGGAATTGCAACCGTGTGAGTCATGCTGACATGTTTAGCTTTCCTCTCCTTCTTTCCAGAAGCATGCTGGGCTGTGTATGTTGGGTTACTTCAGTTATTATATTAATCTGAAGACTTTTCCTCACAAAAATATCGTTACATTCCACCCGGAAGGGACAACACCTACAACTGTGAAGATAGCTTTTTCCTTGTAAATGTCATACAGTGAACCTTTGAAACAGCAAAAGCCTCTAGAACTTAAGTTCAGACTAAACAGAGAAAGTGTTGGGACTTTTTGGCTTCTCAAATCATTTGAGTTTTGACATTTCCAGAGGGCAGAATTATGATCTGTGCAGTGTATTTCAGCATACTGCAAGGGAAGGAACTCTCCAATGGACACAGGTCAATTTAGGTTTTTGATTTCTTCAGTAATGCTTCAAAGGAAGATGCTTTGGCCCCAGAAAAGTGACTCCGAGTACAAAAGCTGCCCATACAGTCAGTGGAGAGAAGGCAATGCCCTAGAAGGGCGAATCCCAGTGAGATGTCTGGGTTTATCCAGCAACTGAAAGGAATCTTAATAGCTCAGTGGAACAGATAACTGCTCACATACAGGAAAGGGAAAGCTGCTTGGATCGTGCCAGTAGGAAGCAGCAGGGATATGTTGGCACGAACACCTTTGTCGATGTTTGAAGTGGAATTCAGAGCACTGTATCGTCTTTTAAGAGGGGAGGCCTGCTGGAGTGGCTGTGACACATACCAAGGACATTTGTAGATTCGAACTGCAAGGCAGTTAAAAAGGGAAAAAAATCCCATATCCTTGCTTCCAGATGAATGCCAAAACACAAGCTGGAAATAAGTGGGAATCCATCCTGCCAGACCTTCCCATAGCACCCCTCTAGGGGATAAGCCACTTGCCCAAGTACGCTGGAAATCCTCTCCGGAACAAAAAAAAGCAGGAGGTCAGATTTCAAGTTAGTATCTGGTGTGTTGAGGGCTTCTACTCAGATGTTCAGAGCCACAGTGGGTTATCGCAGTGGCATCCCTTGTTAGCTGTCTGCAGAAGTGCCCTCTGCCTCTCATCTTTAGCAAATGTGCCAAGAAGGGAATGTGATGTCAGTGGCCACTGTTACGGTAAGTCCACCTTCACCAGCTGTGCATGCTGACACATTGAACAGCTGATAGAGGTGTCTTATGCATGTGTTGTTACAGCATCTTTTGCAGAGTGGCTGAGCAGAAGATCTCAGTCTCCCTCACCAGATTTACCAGAAGTCATCTGTAAGATACGTCAGGGCATTATGTTGTGCTCCAGAAATTTGTGCAATTTGCTATCCAAAGCTTAATCCTTGCATTTTTCTAAAATTGAAACCTAAAGAAGAATTCCCACATATAGGAAACGTCACCTTTGGAAATAATTAAGGCACTAGTTCAAACAACCAGTTCAGTTATTTCATGACATAAATGATGAAAAATAGGAAAATATTTCACCAATAGCAAAGTATGTATTTGCATAACAGGTAATCATGTCACTAGTGTGTATATGTTTGTTTATGTGTGTGTGTGTGCGTGTGCGTGTGTGTGTGTGTGTGTTTATATATTCTGAAAATAGAGGAACAACAGGACAGGTAAATATGATGTTGGAGTACTTATCTGTCTGCCTACATATCTAACAGCCCATCCATCTTTCTGCTGCTGCAGGTCCCAGAAGGTTGCTGTGATAGAAGATACCCAGATAAATTTATTGGGAGTCATCTGGCCAAAAGATGTCCACAATCTAGTCTCCCCATGCTCTCTTCAGAGTCAACAGAGAAAAATATCTACAAGAAATGCAATCTGTGTCATTTTAAGGTGAATGCCATTGTCTCAAGAGCCTGGGACACTTAGCTCTGATCCTATGGACACCTGGAGTAACAAGATAGGAAACCCCCCACCACCATTTCCTAGCATGGAATTTGCTTGGTTTGTCTATCTTTGTTGTTTTTCTGATAAAGCTGGGAATTATTTCTGACAGCTGTGCAAAGAGAAGCAGGCCAGGGACTCAAAGGAGTTACCTGAAGTGAAGCTCCTGGTCCCACAATTCTAGAGGAATAAATGAGTGGTAGTGGCTGTTCCCCAGCCCCTTAGCACTCTGTATCTACCAGAGACATGTGGTCCTTCTCTCTTCATATGGCAGAGAGTCACCAGGGTGCTGGGTGGCTTTGGCACCTGAAACGATGCCTATCTGAACATGGACTGCCCTGGTGCTCCTGTCAGCTCAGCCCTCTGCTCTGTATCAAACCACTTCACAACACGTTAGGGCCTTCAAAAGTGCTGAAGAGGTGGTGGCTCCTAGCAAAAATGATAAAGGCCTTCATCCAGCCAAAATCCTTCCAGTACGTAGCTCCCTAGATCTTTGGCTAGGCAGTCAGTGGAGGTATGTTTCTGCTGGATCACTTTCCCTGTGTGTCTCTTCCTGAGGCTGGCTTATATGTGGTCATATGCAGTGCAGCACCAGGATGCAAAGGAGTGCCTGGAGGTGGGGAGAAAAGGCCACAGCGATGTAAGGCAGCACGATGCCAAGAAGATACTCACCAAGGCATGTCTTCAGCAGAAAAAAAAAAGCAGGAGGGTCACAGGGCTGTGCAGCACAAGGCCAAAGACTCACAGCAAACAGGGCAAGGCCTCAAAACTTCCCGTTACCCAAAGGCTTGGTCTAGTTCAAAGCACAACTCCTGCCACAGCGGTTGCTCATCTCTGAGCATCTACATCAAAATGATTCCTGCCGAGGGACTCCATCGAGCTTTTGCATCTCTCCAAGCCAAACACCATGTTATGAAGTGAATACTTCTTGCTTTATTTTCCCTCCGAAAGAAATGTCACCATCAAATGTTATCCTAAAAGAACCGAGGAGATAAGCAGGTTAGTTCTTCAAGATAACCTTGAAACCGGTTTTTACAGTCATTCTGATCGTGGTTCATATGACTGAAGTTCATTGTTTGATTACTTGGTGGAATATTAATCATAGTATTCTCCAAAACCAACATATCATGTTTGAGTACTCCAGCCTCCAAGTCATCCCTGAGTTTGTTAGGTTGCCAGCTCATCTGATATCTATGGAAAATTAATAAAGATACGAGCTCTCTACTCTTGCTGATCTTCTTGCTTAGTGACTGTTTCTAGTTATGGATCCCAGGAGCTTTACATATGTGTGTTTACAGAAACTTAAAAGAGACACTGCTCTCCCTTGGTACCCATCATCCAGGAGATGACTTTTGTGCATTGTGCAAATGGGTTCATGTGTTGGCAAAGCAGTGGAGTGTCTGTCTGAATGAATGAATGAATGAAGCTGAATTCTCAGAGCAAATCTTCCATATGAACAGCTGAGATATAAAGGGTCCTAGAGCGGAGGAGGAGGAGGAAAATAAAATCACGGCTAAATTAGATCAGTTATCAGAAATAAATTATAGAGTTATAGAGAAGCTTGAAAACTAAATTTGTACTTAAAATTTAAGCCCGTCTCAAAAAAAAGTAGGGGAGTAGGAAGGGAGAATTCACCCCAAAATATCTAAGCAAGGCTAAGTCAAAGGATGGGATTTGCCTAAAATACTTGATGTCAACTCTGGGAGCTGTCTGGGGAATCAACTGAACACAAGCATTGCGAGCTAACTGGAATACAGGACCCAAGCTGACGTCTGAGCAATGACAATCCAGGTGATGTAGGTGTTAGGGGTTGTTGTTCTGTTTCTAT